ACAGTCAGTAAGAGTGACTCCATTTTAGGACTCTTAAGTTTTGGCTTCTCTAAAATATCTGTTACATCAAGCTGAACAACAAGCCTTGTTTCGCCTCCCTCATTACGAGCAACGCAGGCTAACTGGCCTGCATCGGTCATTCTCACTGAACGGATATCCAAAGTGCCATTGCGATGTACTGTCATTCGACTGCCATAATATGGTGCAGGGAGTACAACATTTTCTGGAAGAACCCACATGACACGTGGAACAGGGGTACCAGTGGTTTCACAGTCAATCAGTTTCCGCTGATCTCCCACACTAGAAACCCTCATTGAATTTGTGGTACCTATGAGGCCATTAATCGCAGGTGGAGAGACAAGGATTTCTACTCTGGTCACTTTGCGATCCTGCCCTGCACTGTTCCTGGCAAGACATATATAGTTCCCACCATCGAATCGCTGAACTTTCTGAATGACTAGAGTCCCATTATCGTGTATAAAATATTTGTCTGAACCTGAAGTTATGGCTCTATTCGTGGGTGAAAACCACAATATAAGAGGAGTTGGCTCACCCTTGGCACTGCATTGCAGAGAGATGGATTCTCCGTACAGGACCCTGATTACATCATTTGTCTTATTAGCAATCACAGGGACATCTGCAACTACTTTTACATGCACTTTCATCTCATCTTTTCCAACCTGGTTCTCAGCATAACAAGTATAGTGGCCCTCTTCACGCATCCCTACTTCATTGAAGAAGAGGGTTCCATTGTCAAAGACAACATACCTGCGACTTCGACTGCCAACATTACGTTCAGACTTCATGACACTGTTGATCATGGTGCCGTCAGGCAGTGCCCACTGGATTTTGGGGTCGGGTAGTCCAGAGGCCACACAGTCAACTTTTAGGTTTCCTCCATACATCACCTTCTTATCAGGCTCTGTCTTCTGCTCAATTTTAGCAGGTTTTGCCAGGACGATGACCTTAAAGGGCACAAAATCATCCCCAAATTTGTTGCGGACAACACAGAGGTATTCACCATCATCTTTCTCTGTCACAGATA